GAGGTTTTTTTGGAGGGAGGAAGTTCTCCCCTCTCATCTGTCTCATTTCCCCATTTCCCCCCATTTCCCGTCGCTAAGCGTCAACTTCGTGATTTGGGTTATATTTGCGTCTACACTTGTCTTAGATATTTATGTATTTAGATGTCTGTTAGCTTTCTAACTATCGAGTCATTCCAACTTTCAACTTTCAAATATTTTCTTAATTCTACTCTGTATTATGCACAATAACCTAATTTATCCCTGTATGTATATAGCCTGCGCTAGGGAGAAGTGTCCCCTTTTTTCCCTCTCCCTTGGGAATCCAGACTCCAGACTCCAGAATTCAATATCCAATATCCTCTCTATTTCTTCTTCTAATCTCCCAGAACTCATCGTATCCTTCCGAGGTCCCCGCATCGCTTTTTCTCATTCGTCCACCGCCCGGCACCCGGGAACCCCCTGAAGTAGTTCAAGCCCCCCCCCCCCCCTTCCCTGACGAACTTGACGAACCCCCACAAGTGGCAACTGTTAGTCTGTCCTTCTGCGGATTTAACAGATTCTTGTTGCTCGGAGGCGCATTTTGCGAGTGTGATTGACGCAAGAAAATTCCCCGATTTGTGAGTTTGGTTCCTGATCTTCAATGCGCATGGTTCCTGATCCGTTCTAGGTCAATTGAAATAATGTCTTTCAGCGTACTGTTTTAAACTCCTCGAGCCCTTTCGATTACGAAGCTATGTATTGAGACGGAGAGGGGGTTTTCAAAGCAAGGATACATACTCTACGAGACATACGACCACATCAACACTTTAAACTTGCGAAGAATGAGCGAAGACACACAGGGCCCGGTTGCATATACCCATTTCTCTCTCATATTGCGCTTGTCTGGTCGCGCGTAGTGCCTCGGGGCTACACAATTTCAGAGAGACTTGATATATTCCATTTCCGACATCTAAATCATTCGCTAAACTTCGACCGCTATTCCACCGTCTTGCGAAAATGATTCACCACACAGCAGTCGATGATGACCCCAATCCATCCTACCTCAGACGTCCTTCGGGTCCCTTTCCATCGGAACTGCTGTCTGGACCGTCCCATAACCGGCCTTCCTCTCGCTCGTCACGATCTAGTTCTCGGACTCGAATGGTAAAGCCGCCAGGTGCGGTCACACCCACTGGCCTCGGTGTACTTACAGAGAATGTGGCAAACATGTCCCCGGAGGGTTTCGGAGCCACCAGCCCTATCAAAGAAGGGCTAGGCAGCTTAAATCGCTGGTCCCAGTCAACAGCATCTAGCAAAAGTCCCTCGGAGTACATCGGTCATCATCGTCGAGGGAGCTCGAAAATGTCCATGTCAGGTTATAACCGTGGACGGGAGAGCGACAGCCCCCAACGTGCGCCAGCACTGAATGGGTTGCCGATGTTCGATCTGCCGGAGATGGAGAAGTCTGCCATATTCAACCATGACCCGACATCACAACAACTCGATCTCTCATTTGCGGCCTCAGGTCATCTTTTTCAGCCCTCAACACATAGCACTAAACCAGATATGCCAACTTCTCGATCCAGTGGAGGATCTATTTCTTTAAATGACGGGGACGGGGACGCCGTGGCCATACAACATGGACAGACCCAAAAGGTGATGCTGTCAAAGGCACTTCAGAAAGCAAACACGGCCGTTCTTCTTGACAACGCTGCTAATTTTGAGGGTGCAATGGAAGCTTACACCGACGCGTGCAACTTGCTGCAGCTTGTCATGGTCCGTAGCAATGGAGGAGACGAAGAGAAACTCAAACTTCAAGAAATCCGAGACACATATATGCTCCGGGTCACAGAACTTCATCGTATGGACTTTCCTCTCCCGGAGGACGACGATAAAGCTCTTCCAGATCGGCCCCTCAGCCAAGAGTCATATGGGGAATTGCTTCGTTCGACAAATGACGGATTCCATATGGAGAGCCAGCGGAACTCGCCTCGTTCCAGCTTTAGGCTCCATCAGATCCCACTGGAAGAGGCAAAAGGATTTTCTATGGAAGCGATTCCCCCTCGGCGACAATCCTTGAAGCCGTCTGCCTTGGAAGATCAACCCCGATCTATCACATTGCCGACGGGCAGTCAGGAGGACATCAATGAATCCACTTCATGGTTGGACACAATTGATGAATCGGGCGGTTCGTCACCCTCATCGGCGAACTCTAAGGCGTCATCGGTGTACCTACGTCGCCGGACAAGCCGTCGCCTCAGTAATGACACCGAAGCTGAGTTTGATGCGGCACTCGATGCGGCCGTGGAAGCTGCATATGATGAAGGTCTGGAGCCGGTGCTAGAGCATAGAGAAGAGGAACGTGATGATATTGTGTCAAATGCTCGCAGGAACATTCAATTAGCGAAGCAAAGAGTGCGCGAGGCAGAACAGGAAGCAGAGGCAATGAATCGTGATCGTGAATTGCGCCGCATCCAGGAACAGACGACTTTGTGGGATGACCCCATTTCCCGTACTTCGGAATATCTGGACGATGAAGCAGAGGAAGAGGAGCGGTTGCTAGAAGAGATGACCAAGGGCTACATGATGGATGACTTTGAGTTTGGCATTCAGTCTAAGTCGGCACTTCCTCGAGAATCGGATTCTAGCAACATGTCTGGGAGGACATGGGAAAGCTCCGCAAGCACTGGGAATGTGCTGTCTACGCTGGCAGAAGATGATGTCTTGCCGCTAGGCGACCTAAGGCCCGAACCATATACCATGCCCTCTTCTCCTCCTTCTTCGGCTATGCCGCCCCTGCCAGCATCATCCGACTTTCCAGCTCCCTCAAAGCGGACCTCGGTATCAAACCGTGAGGGTTCTATCGGCTCACTCGCCTCTTCTACAGGTCCAGGAGTGCGAGCCCGGAGACTATCCAGTCAGACTCGCGAGCTTAAAATCGAAATCAATACTCGCTCCTCTCGCGCGAATTCCAATGCATCATCGGCTTTTGAAAATGTTGCAACCCCACTGGCAAATCGCTCGCTACCGTTGCCGAAAGACGAACTTTCTGCTCCTGGGGCCCGTTCCACTTTGCATCCAACACAACGCAACCCGTCGGTGGGTTCTTTCACGGACCACGTCAACCTCTCCAAATCTCGTACTCATGAAGATGATGAGAACGAACTGCCACCCCTGCCGCTGTCAGCACGGCCCATGGGCAAAGTACCCTCGGCTCCAGATGGATTGAATAAACTCCACTCCAATACAAAGCCTTTCCGAGCTCGGAATGCCTCTGTTCCGATTCAGATCCCTGATATGTGCCCGGAATCCCCAAGCTCCCCGTGGAGCGGTGCATTCCCCGACACCCAAAGGGGCGCCACTAGCGGCGTCCCTGTTTTACCCACACCGACCCTAGCTAACTTCAACTTCAACCAAAATGGACTGCCAAGTGGCGGATTAAATCTATTTGGTAGTAACATTCACTCACCCACAGCTCTTGGTCGTCCAAATTCGTTGGTAGCCAATGCCCCTCTTCCTCTAGAGCCATGTCCGGAGTGTTTCCTTCTCCGTCCATTTTGGCTAATGAGATGTCTCTACCAGACACTCGCACATCCTCACGGTGGATATCTGTCAGAGAAGCTCTTTATTCCTCGAGATGTCTGGCGCGTGAAGAATGTTAAATTAAAGGCCCTCGAAGAGAAAGTGTCCAACTGCGATCTTCTGACCGCCGCCCTGCTCAAATTGGCCCAGGTCGATACATATGATGCAGATGCGGTTTTGGAGGAGATGCAGTCGTTTGATACTATACTTGACCAAGTTCAGGTTACCTTGACTAAGAAATTGGGCAGTGATGTTGGTATTCAAGCATCAATGCCATTGTTCAAGCCCGCTTCCACACCGGACGAGTCCGTCCAACCGGAAGTTGCGCCGAATAAGTCCTATTTGACATGGAAAAGATTACGCGCAAAAACTTCCGGGCTTGGGACAACCACCCCGGTCTCGAGTGCTCGAGAAAGTAGCAAGGACAATCTAGTCCTCAATTCTGTCCCAATGACATCTGTACATGGAACACCTGCGAAGCGAAATGTCACCCAGCTTGAATTTTCTGGCCCCAACGCGAACTACATGGGCGCGTTGGCGCGGCTTTTCGATGCTGCACAAGTGCTAGGTAATACCTTTCTCGTCTATATGTTTTGACATCATTCTAATTCATTACCAGAACAAATTGCTCAGCAAGTTGAGGACCCTGGACTCAAACATTCGTCCAAAACCCATGTTGGCCTGGAACTCTGCACACGACATGCTGCAGAATTCTTTGGCTTTTATATTTGTCGGTTCGCACTGGCTGATGTGGGCTTGATGCTCGACAAGTTCATCAAGCGAGGTAGCGAGTGGGTGTTGGTTTAGGAGATATATGAAGCCATACGATAATTACCCCCCTCTTCCGAGCCACTGGAGACCTGGAGTTTTTCTGCGTTCTTTTTGATATTTCTGATGTCCATATTCGATCTCCCCATGTCTTTTGAGATACCATGATTTTAACCCGTGAGATATTTGATGATTTAAGAACATAATTGTCATGAGAAGGGATTGTATTTAACGCTGTTTGTTTCTTGCCCATATAAACTGTTTATTTTGGTGGTCTTGCCTCGGTGCGAGCCCTAACGACTTACTCTAATGCATATCACACTTTACTACAATCCTTTAGTACTTACAAGCATCATACTGTGTTCGCGTTCATATATACAAAGATCACTATCATCCTTGAGCAGTAAATCTTTCAGCCATCCCTCATCAGCAGTTCAGAAGCACATATTGGCCGATCGAAGACAAATTTGTCGTCATTTCCTTTCCATCTCGGATAATCTCGGCTGACATTTTTAGGTGTGCATACTTCTGTATTTCGTTTACCACGCCTGCCATGATCGCATCTATCTGTGAAACGGGGGGTGGCAGGATAGAGAAGGTAGGAGAAATCGTGGCACCCATTATCAGCAACGTCTGTGATACCATTGACAGGGCACCGGAAGGTGGTCATCTCGATGGCTGGTTATATGGCTCTAGTTGACGGAGTATAGCATCCAAACATCACCGGCAACACCCACTCCAGCCTGTTCATTCTCAAACACAGCTAAGATATATGGACGATATATAATGGTATGGCATGCATTGTAGCGAAGCCCCAGCACCGTTTGAACCGAATTGGAAAGAGGATTTGGGGCCAAAGGGAATTGAACGGGCCCGGGAAGACTGTCATACCATTGAGATAGCTGAAAGTCGAGCTCGGATACAATCGGACCTAATGAGGCGAGAGTGTAGGCACTGTCTTTCCGATAAATGATGTGACTGACGCGGTTGAGGAGCCTTTGTAGCCCAATCTCTTCCAGGAAGTACCAGAGTTCATCACGCTTAAGAGCCAGCCAAGAGTCTACCGGGCGTGATGAACCCTGATAATTCCTGGCTATTTGGCCTTCTTCGCCCTGGTTATGATCCACGCCTTCCTCCTCTCCATCATCCTCATCTTCTTCTTTCAAAAACTCCTGGCAAATCCATGAGTTCTCCAAAGTCGAAAATGCCCGAATGGGCGAGATCTAATTCTGCAAGAAGGTCGTCCTCAAATAACGAGGCATTCCAGTATACCTTCACACTCAGCTCTCTCCACCGAGTCGGGATCCGATTCGGACTGCCAAACAACAACTACAATTTCATGCTCACGCTGGATAGTAAGGTCCAAGCTTCCAGGGGCCACACTAGGTAATGACGATGCTGCACCACAACCACAGTATTTCGTATCATGAGCCCCACGCAGCGGCAAAATAAGGAAGTCCCAGCGGTTCACGATCTGGTGACAGAAACAAGATACCGCGACTATGACTGGCACTTCCTAGAGCCAAAACTAGAAGAACAAGACAATTCATGTGTCCTTTCTGATATCTTTGCGCGAGAGCTGATTGATAATATCGATTCCACGTGTAAGGGTTCACGCAGGCGTACCAAGCGTTTCCATAGCTGAAAACTGCCTGAGAATATGTAGATGCAATTTTAAAATAAAAGCCTGAACTTGGAGTAAGCCGCAATAGTTCGCGGGCCACTCCAATGGAAGAAGATGCTGTGAATCATAGGCGAGAGACCAAGTCCCGAATTAGAGGCCAATGGAGGGGATGAAGAGTAGGTAGGCGGACCCGGGGACTGAGCCCAACAGCAGATAATCTTCCGTGCACTGGTAAGCCTCTGGATGACGTTCTCGTTGACGGATCATCGCTACCGAGGTTTGTATCGTTGCTGGTGGCCGGGGAAGTAGCGGACGGGGCTAAATGTGGCCCTTGATTTTGTAAATTTGAATGTAATAAACTCTCAATTCTGGCCAAATGATCTAGGATGAGTTTGCCGCCAGTGTCGAGTTTGATACCAGGTTCTCGATAGACACATTCCGCATTCAAATCGGAACACATTTGGCACGAACTCCACTACATCGGGTATTGCGTAGCCGGCATGTCTGACACTAGTTGTTGAAGAGTCCTGCCTTGGTCAAATGTGCCAGAGGCGCTTACAGCTATTGTTGTCCGTCTTCTTGGATATTCAACAGCTTCTGCATTAGAGCGCTTTTTCTTGCCGATGGATATGTCGCTAACTGCATAGTCCCCGACGGGGTCTATCGCCGCGTTTTCTGGGAGCAGAGTCATTGTTCAAAGCTGGGATTGTGTCTAGTTGTATTTAACGTCGCATTCCACCCAAAGGGGTTGGTCGGCATGACGGGCATACTTGGAGATGAGTATAGACATAAAGAGGGAGAGGGATATCCAAAATAATTACCCGGAGAATTCAGGGCACAGGTATTGATATATAATGCGAGGTCGTCCAATAACAATGTATTCCAGCTTTTCCGAGCTTGTATAACAGTTGGCCCAACTCGGTACGAGGGTGAGTCCGTAGCACATCGGATAGGAAAAATGCAAGCGAATAAAAGCACAAGTAAGCTAGTAGATATAAAATATACATCGGCATTTGCACGAAATATATACCGAGTAATATATGTCAGTACTTTGTACATTTGACCTACGGAGTACTAGATACTAGATAGTACGTATCGAGTTTGCTGTCACATGTGGTCCACGTGCACCGCGCCCAAACAAACGCGTCGATCTTTCGCATTTGTAGCTGCGCAACCATTTTGGCTCTATCACATACTCCGTTGGCTCAAATCAATTTGTTCAACTATGCCTCGTCCAGCCCCCAAACGAAGTCGTACAGTGGGAAAGAGTCAGCCCAAAAAAACCGCGATAGAAGACTCAACGCAGCAAATTGACCCCAATGTCGCCCAATCGCCCGTGCAGCCTGAGCGTGCCTCGGCCTTGGATCCGCGACAGGCGTCATGCAGTCAAACACCCTTGACCAAAAGCCATGAACAAGCGATTGAATCTTCACCTACGGGGGACCGGCCAGGCACCGGCAGTCGACCTGGAACCGGCAGTCGTCCCCCTACAAGATCGCGCGGTTATTCCTCTACGCTATCATTCGCTGGACGCAAAGGTGACACAAACTCCCGGGTTCCTGGAACGCCTGGATTTGATAATTCGGTTCTGAGCAACTTCAGGCGGCGGCCGCGACAGCAAAGCATTCTGCAAATGATGCAAGCAGACGACGATGGCTCTTCCGACCTTGATGATGATGACTTCCTTGGTGGGCTTAGCCCCAATGATGAATCGACACCACTAAATCTCTCTCGGGGAAAGTCACTACTTATCAAGCCAACCGGAAATTCATCCCCGTCACCGGCCGCATCCCCGCTCTCGTCCGGCGGGTCGCGCAAGCGCAAGCGCATGACCCAAGAGATTCAAATACCACAGTCACCTGTGGATATAGTAGAAGATCCTTCAACTGCGACACCGGTTCAATACGACGACTCTCGACATGTTATTGGAGACGAACTTCCTGAAAATGAGGAGGTCGAACCTGAAGACGAGGAACTTGAAGATCAGGAGGCCGAGATTGAAAGAGTCGAGGCTACGCCACAATCCCAAAGATTTCCAGAAATATTGAGCCAGACTATGTTACCACCGGCCAGTAGTCCTGCAGGCTCCGTTGCACCTGGCGACTCCACACCGCGACCTGTTCAGACGAAAAAGTCCAAAGCCCCGAGTCATCTATCGACAGCAGACCTACAAGACAAGCTTTTACCACGTCGCCGGCACAGACTCCGCGCCATCAATAATTACAGTGACGAAAGTGATGATCAGCATGATGCCGCATCTGGCGACGAGGACGAGCTGAACTACCCATCACAAAGATTATCTGAGCGACGGGCAGGAAAAAGCAAGCTCAAAGCATTAGCCGATGCTCGCAATCCGAAGCGGAAGGAGATTAAAGAGAAGAAAATTAAGGACAAATCGTGTCCCAAAGAACCAGCTACGTATTCACGTTCTCAAGCGAGTGGCGTCAACAAAGAAAACGAAGCGCTTCTATCATCCCCATCCTCTTCTCCACTGTCATCACCACCTGAGTCTGACATATCTGATTTCGAATCCACAGAATCAGAGGCCACTCGTTGCGTGAGCGATGAGTTGCGCGCGGCAGTCAAGAAGTTTGCGGAAGTGGACCAATGGGAGATGGAGTTTGAAGATGTATCTGCTTCAGAGAGCTAGTCCTAGAGGGATTGGATGAAGAGTCCGAATAATATAATGTATGATCTCCACGGATGTGAATGTGTTGGTCTTTTTCTTTTTCCTTTTCCTTTTGACAGCGGCAGCCCTGAAGTAGCCGCATAATTTCTAAGCCCCGCAATGTAACCTCGTCTGCTTGTAAATAACAGCTGGCAGCTTTATCTCCCTCTCTCTATCTCTCTTCTTCTTTTTCATCACTTAAACTATTCACTCGATATGACTACCGTGGATACCATTCTCGCTGCCAAGTATCCGGCTAAGGCCCATGCTCTTCGTGTCGCTGAGTCTCTTCAGGCCCGGCATGGCGGGGCCGGAGTTATCTACCTCGAGGCCCAAAAAACTCGATTGATCGAGGATAGCGATGAGGATATGCCATTCAGGTAATGCAGCATTTCTGTAGGATCTGGACTGACACTAATCCCGGTCTAGGCAACGTCGTCCTTTCTTCTATCTCACTGGATGTCTTTTGCCCAATGCCGCCGTGGTATACGATGCCGTCGGAGATGAATTGACTCTGTTTATTCCACCGATCAACCCAGAGTCGGTTATTTGGTCCGGTCTTCCCCTGTCTCTCGATGAGGCTGCCAAAGTGTACGATGTGGACCGCGTTCTGTTCACAACCGATATGAATTCGACTTTGGCGTCGATCGCCTCAAACCACAATGGACAAACTGCTGTTTTTGCAATCGCCGAACAGGTGTCGGAGGGAATAAGCTTCCATGGCTTCGCTGAAACAAACACTACCAGCCTGAAGACCGCCATCGAGGAGACTCGTGTCATCAAGGATGCGTACGAGGTTGCGCTTTTACGAAAGGCAAACGATATCTCGACCAAAGCGCACATTGCTGCTATTCAGGCCTCCAAAACCGCGACTAACGAGCGCGAGATTGAGGCTGCCATTATCGGTGCTTGTATTGCCAATGGGTGTCGCGAGCAGTCTTACCACCCTATCGTTGCTGGAGGTGAGGGGGGTGCTACTCTTCACTATGTCAGAAACGATGTTGACCTGGTCGACCCCATCACTAAGCACCGGAAGAATAATGTTCTCATCGATGCTGGCGGCGAATACCAAACTTACTGCGCCGATATCACGCGAGTTGTTCCTCTAAATGGAAGGTTTGCGCCTGAGACCCGTCAGATTTACGAGATTGTCCTCCAGATGCAGACGGAATGTATTGCGATGCTCAAGGAAGGTGTGTGCTGGGATGACGTTCACGCGCTGGCACATCGCATTGCTATCCGTGGCTTATTAAAGCTGGGTATCCTGCGCGGATCCGAGGACGAATTGTTCGACAAGCGTGTCAGTGTGGCCTTCTTCCCGCATGGCCTCGGTCACTACCTGGGAATGGACACCCATGATACCGGTGGTAACCCCAACTATGAGGACAAGGATACCATGTTCCGCTACCTGCGTGTCCGCGCTAACCTGCCTGCTGGCTCTGTGGTCACCGTTGAGCCCGGTGTAAGTGACACCCCTTGAGAACCCTCTTACTCAACAATACTTATTATCTACCAGATCTATTTCTGTCGCTTCATTATCGATCCCGTCTTAAAGGCCCCCGAGACCGGTAAGTACATCGATACCGAGGTCTTAGAGCGGTATTGGAGTGTGGGAGGAGTGCGCATCGAAGACAACATCCACATCACCAAGGACGGTTCTGAGAATCTGACCACGGCCCCGAAACTCATTGAGGAGGTGGAGAGCCTGGCCTTATAAAAAGCAGGCCCTACGGCCATTGACAAGATTTGCCCCTGAACTGTTCAAGAAGGTTCATACCAAATTAATAAGAAGACTTCGTTGATCCTCGGATATGTGATTGTACAACTGGCAATAACTAGATGTCTCTTCTGCGCTTGTGCGCACTTCCCTTGATCTCATCCACCGATCCGTTCTTCAACTTGCGATCCAGAATGATAGTCAAAACATCAAAGGAAAACTCCGGCACTTCAATGCACAGCTTCTTAAAGTTGTTCCCAACCTCCTGCCGCAGCAAGTGGCTTTGGTTCGCCCAGTAAGTCGCCACAGGCTTCCGAATGGTCGTGTCTGTTGCTGGTGTATGAGTATATACGTAACGGGCATATGAAAGCTCCGCATCAGGTGAGCTCTGGACCTTATGGATCTTGCCATGGGCAATGCGCTGAAGGTTTGGCAGACCTAGCTTCTCTGCCAGGGTGTAGATGCGCGCATGGCGCAGCAACTCGTCGCCGCTTTTGTCTTCAACTGTTTCCCCGGGTGTTTCCGTTTGAACCACGGTGTAATCACGCGTATATTGGAACTGGAGGAAGCAACCGAAGGCATCAACGTCCTCTTCTGACAGGTTGATGCGTCGCTATTAATCATAACCAATTAGTATAATAAATATGAAAATATACCTGGGACGGATTTTAACTAAAGAACCCACCGGGCCTGACGCTTCGAATTTTTTAAGCAACTCGGCTAGTAGTGGCGCTTCCATCAAGAGCGATTGATGAGCTGTCATAACGGTCTCACCGTCGCCTTTCCCAACGATAATCTCAACGATAGGTGAAGTCAGGAAGCTACAAGTTGTTGTGAGCTGGCGAGTAATGATTGGGACAATGAAAGGTGATGCCATCTTGAAAAAGTAATTGTGTCGCAAATGTTTAGGAAAAGAATGCTCACTCAAGGAAGTTGAAGTCCGCGTTCTTTTTTGCCGGAGCAGGTAGTTCTGGCACTGCCTGCACATCTGAAAGTGTCGAATCTTCTTGCACATGTTCGGGTTCAGGTTGGCTTGTGTCCTGTGTTTCCCCCATCTCTACCTCGGTGGAATTGTGGTTCGCAGTCGCATTGGGTTCGGGTTGGGTTGATTCGGGGGTTTCGCCAGGGACCCGAACTTGGGGCGTTTGTGATTTATCCATGATTCAATTGAATAAGGGCCAATGGATGGTAACATGGTAAGGAATGGTAATAAGAGGAAGAGAGAGACCAAACATCCAGGGGTAGAGCTAAGGCGGAGAAGCATGACAGTCGACAGAAGCTCATAGCTATATAATTGCATGAATTTCTACTCTTTCGACTTGATACTCGACCTTCCTTGTTACTTTTATTTTACTTTCGAATATAATTTTCCTCTTCCCTGGATACTCCAATCTAGGAACCACATCTCGACAGAACGTCATTTGGCGCAGTTATCGCATTTGCCGCATTTGCCGCGCTAAAGGGAAAGAAAAACAGAGACCGCCATTCTCTAAGACCTGAGATTTGAAACAATCTACGGAGTGTATGATGCATAATCATGGACTTGGAAGAACCAGCATCGACCGAGACTGAGCAAGCTGGTCAATACTTGCTCACCGCAGAGGATGCCGAGCTTTTACAGGAGATTCTCAAGCACAATCTCTCACATCAGTCGGGTGAGAAACGGAAATTCAGGTTCCAAGACCTGAAATTCACCCGACAACTGAGTACTTTTCAAAATTTGGGAACTACTGCCCCCCAGTTCCATGGATTTTTTGTTCTCTTCTGGATGGGGGTGACCTTGATGTTGTTCAGGCTTGCTGCCAACAATTGGAGAACTTACGGCAGCATATGGGGCAAGAATGAGATTATCCATCTTATGATGGATAAAGATGTCATGGTCCTTGGACTGACTGACTTGCTCCTTTGTTGGTCTACAGGGTTTTGTCTGATACTACAACGAGTGATACTCAGGGGATACATTCGCTGGAACGGTCTCGGCTGGCTTATTCAGAATGTCAGTCTTAAAATCTGCCCTTGACGCTGTTACATTGCTGACCTGTGCAGATCTGGCAAACTACATACCTTGGAGTCGTTATATGGTGGACATACCATCGCGATTGGCCGTGGACACACACGGTCTTTATCGTATTACACTGTTTGGCTATGCTGATGAAGCAACACAGCTATGCAGCTTACAATGGCTATTGTATGTCAATTTGTGTCCGGTTGTGAGCAGGAGCTAATGAGGGCAGTATCGGAAATGTATCGCAAACGAGATATGCTGAAAGCAAGTCTTGGCCAAACCAAGGCCAAAGAAAGAGGACATGCTACTTCTACCAGGACGGGCCACTCTTCTGCAATTGATACACAAGTCAATGCTGAGATCACAGACCTTAAGAGAAAAGACTTTAGGCAACGCTCTTCTGACCTACAGAACTATTCTCGATCTCATGAAACCGACCAGCTTTTATCTCTTATTGGAACGATAGAGACCGGTGTGCCACTTGAACCTAACCAGGTGAAATCGCTCAGAGAACTGCTCGAGCAGGAGATCAAGGTCTTATCTGAGGGATTAAAGGGCCGGTGCTCCCTAACCAACAATCACTATCCTCAAAACTTGACAATAGGAAATATCTGCGACTTCATGGCATTGCCCACATTGGTTTATGAGCTCGAATACCCGCGGACCAAGAAAATTGATTGGCTCTATGTCGCAGAGAAAACCCTCGCCACATTCGGCGTTATTGTAGTTATGATCGCAGTCTCTCAATCGTGGATATACCCGGTGGTGATGGACACCGTGCGTATGAAAGCGGAGGGAATGACCGCGCAGCAGAGACTTCGGGAATTCCCCTGGGTTCTCGGTGACTTGCTTTTTCCGTTCATGATGGAGTATCTACTAGCATTCTACGTGATCTGGGAATGTGTTGTAAGTCTCTTTGACTGTTTGCTACCTTGATTTATTGCTAAGTTCATCTAGCTCAATGCTGTGGCCGAGATCACCATGTTTGCAGATCGAGGGTTCTATTCCGATTGGTGGAACTCGGTCTCGTGGGATCAGTTCGCGCGAGATTGGAACCGTCCTGTCCATAACTTTTTGTTTCGGCATGTATACCATGGCTCCATCAGCGAATACCGTTTGTCGCGGGTATCTGCCAGTCTCATCACTTTTCTCTTATCTGCATGTGTACATGAGCTTCTCATGCTGTGCATATTCCGGCGGCTCCGAGGTTACCTACTAATCCTCCAGATGTCTCAGCTACCACTTGTTGCGCTAAGCCGGACTCGCCTGATGAGAGGTCGCCGTTTATTGGGCAATGTCCTCTTTTGGCTGGGTATCTTTACAGGGCCAAGTCTGTTATGCAGCTTGTACTTGATCATTTGATTTGATACAGTACCTGAATATCCGTTAATGGTTACTGCTTCAATGTAAACAACAAATCCATATAACTATAGATTGTGCCTACATATTGATTATTACATGGTTTTTATACCGCCTCCGATTGGACGAGCACGGACTCTATATCCCACCCTGATATATATGTATCTTTCTCTGTACTCTTCCTCTTCCTGATATCCTTCTTGTACGCACACTCTCCCCCGCGCGCGCGTACCGCTATTTCGATTGTATCTAAATGGCATCTAATTCACCGGCTGCTTGTTGCGTCATTTCCATACTTCTGATTCTCTGGAAATAGACTACAATTTCGCTGATGGTAGTAGTTGAGATCTTCACACCTCAAGCGTTCCACAAAGCGTTTCATCCTGTTGCTCACCGCACCGCTTCATTAACGCGCAGCTCATTGCAGACTAAATAGCGGCAAATGGCCATCTGGGCGTCATGCCAGACCTATTCCACGGTGACCCAGTGCCGTTGAACAATCGCCCCGCTAGCTTCGATCTGATCGGCTGGCTAATAGGCCTTCTAGGTCATCTGCCAGACCGTGTAGAACGCGTGGCTCAAGGGATACCAAGGGAAATATAGTCCAACATGGACTACGAGCGGGTCGATGCTGTCGGCTATTGCTTCGGAGTATGTTGATGTTTCGTATATCTTGCTGCTACCCGAGTTGACAAACACAGACAAGATACGCCATGCGACTGTTCCAGCCAGGTCCCTGCGATGTTGCCTGTGTCGCACACCCCAGTTTCGTCGACGCAGAGGAATTACAAGCAATCCAAGGCCCGCTATCCATTGCTGCAGCTGGTAATTCACTCGGGGGTGAATTCGTTTGCAAGACTTTGCTCAAGATTATGGTGCTTATACTGCCTTCGTGCTGTTTTGTGTTATGTTTTACGCTGTCAAAATCTGTACTCCTTTCCACCTCATTTCTCGCAGTATACCAGCCAGCTATACGGAGTACCAGGTCAGGTAGGGCTCGTACCCGGTTTCGGGCACGCCGCGGATCTTATACTTCTTTTATTAACCTGTACTTCTATTTATTACCTTCGTTGAATCAACTGTCATATAGAATCTTTGATTGTTTCCGTCACTTGAGCGGCATTATACCCTTGAGATTTGCAATTTTATGACCACTAGTCGGAGTCGGCGTGGAATTTTTGGTAGCTTTGGTCATGCTTATCTTTTAGATTAATTCATTCATGTCTAAGTAAAGCATCATTAAAAGATTTAAAGGACGGCCTGGGACGGCCGACAATCTTGATCCGGTTATAGCGCCGTGACTAAATATTTTCTCAATCTTTCTGGCCCCAAAGTGCCATGAATCTGAGGATATCCTGGCCAAAACTGGCCAGCCGTACCAGATCAACTTGTTCGGTGGCGTTGAGCATGGATTTGCTGTTTGCGCAGATATCACCAAGCTAACAATTCGCTTTGCCAAAGAGTCTTGACTTTTTTGCAGGCAGTTGCATGGTTTGATCAGTACCTTTAATCAATCGGAGAGGGAAATATCTAGCATGATAACAATAAAACTTCAATTGAGATCCACACTTGGTTAGGTTGGCCTTGAGAAGCGACATATTTACATGTATTTGAGGAAACAAAGAAAAAGGTATGCAATGCCATAAAAATTGCAATTGGCCAAAGTGAGCTGTTGTATTCCTTACATCTTCTCGTGGGTAGCCATAAGAGAACCTATCATCTGTTAGAGACTGAAATTTCCGCCATACCGACGAAAGTGTTAACTTACCAATAAACGTAGTGACCAAACGAGACCGAACTTGACAGATGTCCTCAGGAACCAACCAGATGGTGGCACCCATCTTCCTGGCGATACTGATAGAAAGCTTAGCGTTTGCGTATGCTTCTTCGTCGGTCCGACCAGGCGTGACCAGATCGTAATCCACATAGCTGCTCTTCATGCCGTTGAGTACATCAAGGAGGAAGATTCCAGATCCAATAGATTTGTCTTTGAAGCTGCGTATTGTGGAAGACTTGCCGCCACTGCTAGACATGTCATTGGCCCAGCGGATCATCTCAGTATCGGTTATTTCACGTTTGCCCAGCCGCTGGGCCAGCGCAGAGAGTGTGTTGGTAATATCACGGCGCATCAGCTGCCACACCAATCCGAGAGTGAGTGTTCGTTGGCCATCAGTGATATCAGCGCCCTGAACGCCGACGAGAGAGAAACCATTATGTTTCCCAAGCTCGATCGAATAATTGGTATTTTCTACAGCCTTGAACCGCATCAGTTCACCACCAGACGCTGGTGGCTTGTTGACATGTCTCCAGTTCACGCTTCCAGGGATGACCTTGTCGTATGCCTGCAACAAAACAGAGCCATCGCGTAGGTCATCAAATAGCGAGTTGACCGCCGGCTGCACATCCAATGAATTCAACCACAGAGTGAAGACTCTGGCCTCTCGCTCACCCTCAGCGTCGAAGTCTTCAACCTCGAGCTTCTCCTCCTCGGTAATCGGGTCCAGTCCAGGGTGGGTGTTGAACAGATTAGCAACAAAGGCAAGGTTTAGCTTGGGATTTCCGGCGACCAATGAGGTTGGGGTCAGGAACTTGCGGCAATCAAGCGAATCAGCGTTCTGGAGGACCTGCTCAGCCCGCTCAAGCAAGTCTCGAGTCTGGAGAGGGGCACGCGAGCAAACATCGGGTGCCAATTGGTTGAGGAGAACGGTGTAGTTCTCGCCATCCTTGACATCGGTAGAAAAGTTCGTCACCCTACATCGGTTAGCCATATGTCTTTATTTGTGTCCCCCTCGGGCGGTACATACCGTCTGTCCCACTTCGCATTCTTCAAATGGTAGTTGAACCAACGAAGAAGAATCTGCTCTGGAGGCAGGCGCAAGAACTGCTCCAGAGTTTCATCCTCGTCCAAAAGCCTGTAAAGCTCCGGGTGAAGTTTGATATCAATCTTTCCAAGAAGACCACGGCGGATGATTTGCCAGATGAGGCCCAGAATTAAATGCTCGCGCACTTCGATGATATCCCCGCTTCCAATGTTGACAACTGAGCATCCGATACCCTTGGCAGAGTTGATAACAATATTGTTGTTCTCGGTCATGTGGAAAGCATTCAGCTGCTTGATCTTCTTCCCGGCCTTATTCAGAACGCGCTCATCAATGGTGTCTGGTACGCTATCGTTGATCAACTTTGCCAAGACCAAGCCATCCTTGGACTTATCAAACATCTCAAATGTATCGGTGGGAAAAGGTAGGAGGTTGCCAACATCCGGATCGCCCGCCAGGACAGCATTGATATGTCGCGTGAACTCTGTTCGTTCATCCTCGTTGATCGTATGCGTGACATTAGAGGATGATCCTTGGACATGGATTCGTCCACCCACACTGCCTTTGGAGACATGCCGAGATGCTCCAGTGCCAGCGCCGGCCTCTTGGATCACAGCCGCGGGGGTAGCTGCTGCGCGGACACCTTCAGTGGGGGCTGTCCGGAGCTTGGAAACGAGCTGCCATGCCATTAATACCAGCGGGGTGAGAAAGGGAAGCGGGGAGATTGTATTACATCAACATAATCTTCGAGTTCCACGCGCCGGGAGCTGTCGAGCTCCACATCCTTCAAAGCTGCACGCACCACATCATATGGCTGGCGTTCTGATTGTTGAGCAGCTTTGATCACGGTAGATTCATCAAGGTAGCCACGGTCTTCGACGTCCAATCTGGTGAATGCATCCTGGAGCGAAAATATCTCGCCTTGATCAAGCTGCGGAAAACGCCTACATGGATCGCAATGGTCAGCATTTTGTTTTCATTGAATGGAGAGAGAATGTACTTCTGAAGCTTGAAGACGTTCATCTTGTCAAGAGTCACAACCCTAGGGGCAAAACAGCTGAGGGGTTCACCCAGGGAAAGACTGTGTTGCGACAAAAAAAAAAGGAGGGGAAGTAGATTACACCCTGAGCCAGATCAATTGTCAAGAGGTAAAGTAAGCAAATGATCAGAAGAAATCCGATGCGTGCTCAAGGTGGGCAGTGCAAAGCGAAAGGCAGCCAGGTATAGACGAACCGAGGGGGAGACGAGCCACACCGTAATGAAAGTAGTTGGTTAACGATACAGAGTACATCACGCTAGGAGTATTGTTGTATGGGAACGTAAGTATCATGTCAGTAACGCCGTGTTCTCATATTATCGTATTGGGGAACGTTGAAGTTCTTCTGATGACGTCGACATCTTACATATATACTATGTTATACCTAGTTACCTATCTATGTAGTATATATAACATGGTGACCTTTCATGAAACTATTTCATCTACCTAGCTGGTCATTATGCTGGTGTTCGCCACAATCGACTGAGAAAAAGCCATATATACGCCGACCTCGGGAATTTGACGAATCCACGGCTTATAGCCCCTAACTCTTTAGACTATCAATGTAAGATGAATACATAGAATTGGGACCTTATGTAGAAATATGTATATATATATAATTAACGGGCCTATGTCAAGAACGGACATTGTTTATATGGTACGGTATAACATTGTACATTACAACGTAATTGCCTGAAATTGGGATTACATCATTTCCCATCTCCAAACACTGGAAACATTCATTGCAACGCCAACATCTACCGTTTTGAACACCTTTTTGGCCGCGGCCCTTTCTCTATTCGTGTTCATACGTCGTACCGACACTTTCGCTGTTCCTCAACCCAGCTCCTCACGTTGGTTTGTTTCGCTACCTTCCGACGGGCGCTCCTCCCCATGGCGGGTGCAGAGCAGAAGTCGTTCTTGGGGACACTCACTCCATGGAGTACACCAAAAAGCGCAACCTCAACACCGCAGCTTGGAGATCACCAGAAAAAGGATGTCTTGCAGCGGTCGCAAGGGGAGGACCACACGGTGACCCACATGCATCGATTAAGCATGCGACGCTATCCTCCCGATTGCCCTCCATCGAAAGTCAGGTGGTTCTACGCAGTGGACTCGCCCAAGCGGAAACCGTCCATAATAGGACAGAAAAAGGCGGACCAAAAGCCCTTGCCATCGCCGAAGAAATTCATACCTTTCCCAGGGAAAGACTCCCAGTCTATTGAAGCGACGTTCCAGAAACTCTCAGACATCGAAGATGCCCGCCAACAGAACCCGCCAAACGACAGCGAACCTGTATTGACCAAAGTGCCTGTGAATGAGGATTTTCTTTTCAATGTCGATGTGGAACAACGAGAATTGAGTCCTACCTATTGGATTGGTCCTGTGTATGAAGTCCGTCGTGGAACGTGGTTCATTCAGGATGGATCTAGCCTAAAACCATGTGAAGAAAACCTTGCTACCCAACTTGAAGAGGGCTATATCAAATTGTGTCCATGGAGGTCCCAGCCATCAGAACAGAATTCGCAAGCAAACGAAGAAGATAGATCTGGTCAGATGCCAATCAACACCTTTGAGCCAGATCCCAAACCCCCTCATTCAATCAACCCGAACTCTTCTCCCCGTACCGCAGGGAATGATTCCAGCAGTCCTAGTCCTACAGTGGAGCCTCAGCAGTATCGTCTCTTTGGCGCTTACATGAATAGGATAGTCGGTTATCAAGATTCCACGACGGCCTGGCTGATGAACGATGATTTCATGTCACGCTTCAGTACTTCGGTATATCAAAAGCTAGGGGGCGTTCCGGGAACAAAGTTGGTTCGCGGTTTCGAGCCCAGAAAGCCAAAAGAGACACCAGAAGCAAAGGGTCCTAAACAAAAACCACTGGGCGAGTCAAACCCCGCCAAAGGTTTGAATGAGGCCTTGAAAGAAAAGACAGAAAAAGACACAGACAAGTCAACCTCCTCTGATGGGTTCAAGGACTACGAAAGTGGATCGAAATCAACATTAGAACGCCAAATGTCCTCCCTCGCAGGCGAGCCGCAAAATCCAGCTGACCTCGAGGAACAGGCTCGTAGGCAGGAGGAACAGGAGATGGAAGAATCAAGGGAAGTGGACGGCGCGGACAGAGAGCGCGAGGTTGATCATCTAGTTCTTGTCACCCACGGAATTGGCCAGCGACTCGGCTTGCGACTGGAAAGCATCAATTTCATACACGATGTAAATGTGCTTCGCAAGACGCTAAAAACTGTCTACAAAGGTTCACCTGACCTCCAAGCGTTGAACTCGGCGCATCCAGACAGCGATAAGAACTGCCGTGTTCAAGTGCTTCCTGTGTGAGACTGATTCCTTTGCTCGGCATTTCTTTTTGCTAATTTCAGCAGGTGCTGGCGCCATCTTCTGGACTTTCCTTACCGAGGAGTTCGGCGGAACAGAAAAGAACTGGATCTCACTGATGCAGACGCTCTCGAGGATGATGCTTACCCCAGCTTGTCCGATATAACACTGGAAAGTGTACCTGCTGTTCGAAACCTCATTTCAGATTTGGCTATGGATGTACTCTTGTACCAAAGCGGGTACTGTGAACATATCTCCAATATTGTCATCCAAGAAT